GGGGGGGGGGGGAGGAAGGAAAAAAATTGTGCCCAGACAGTTATAGTGGCGAGTGTGGCCTCTGTGTCTCTGTGAATCGCCAATTGCAATTAGCAGTCCTAGCCAGTTCCCAATCGTCCATCACGATTCTTGGTTTGTGACTGCATCTAGCAGCAGTGTGATTGATTGGCTGATCGTGCGCTTGTGTGACCCTATGACTTTATGTGTCTGTCACAGGCATGATGAACCTGTTGCTTCCCACACCCCTCAATGAGGAGCAAATTGACTTCATTAAGACGGGGATGCACTGTGCAAAGAAACTCTCCGGTCTTATAAATGATATCCTGGACCTCTCCAAGATTGAGGTACTCATAGATATACCTTATACCCAACTTACGAAATTAGTAAATTTACCCCATTTATCTTATGTCTGACACTTTTTTGCCACGACATTCAAGTCTAGTGCAGTTGCTTTTTTTCGTAATTTTAATCCATTTATGATTTATGTCAATTTGGAATTTTGTCTTCTATCCGTCAATGCACTTTTTCATTGTTTTAATTCTTGCCCTTGTTTTGTTTCGTTTTCCCTTTTCAATCCACCTGAACCTTCCGTTGGGAGATCAGGGGGCTGTGTCTTAGAAACGTCACCACACGAGCCTAACACTCTGTTTGTTCTCCAGCACTAAGCCGTTGGCCGGTTCTCCAGTCTGGTAGGGCTAGAGCACCCTTACAGCCAGGGCATATGCTCTGCCTTGTGTCTCACCCGTCCGTTCCTTCATCTCCACATACCCGCCTACCTGCCTTGGCCTGTCTGACCATGTGTACATGTTCCTGCCTGTCTATGCATGTCTGCATGTTGCTCGACTTTGCACCTGCCTGCCCACCCCATCTGTGCATCTCTGTATACCTGTTGTGTCTGTCCATCCATCGATCCCACCACCCTCCCATCCATCTGTACTTCCATTCATCTATTGCACCCAATGCTAGAGCGATCAATCCATCCATCCATCCCTCCACCTATCCACGGACCCACCCACCCCTCTGCACATGTTACATGCTGAAAGCCTACACACGGGCCCCTCACGGGACCCGAGGTTGGAATAGGGCCCCCAGGTCGCGTCACCGCAACCTGAAGGCCCTATGACATTTCTACTTGGGCCTGCATCAGAAAAACGCCAGCTTTAGATTATTTTTATATTCTTTTATTTATTTATTTGCTGCTGTTTTTCTAACGGTTGTACTGTTGTCCGTTTTGTGGCCAGGTACACGTTTTAGGACCAGGGCCAGATTCAGGCCCAGAGGCTGAGCTCCTAAAAACGTTTGGACCTTTTCTTTTGTTTTCGAACAGATTGCTACCTGTTTGGACCCAGGCCGACGTTGAGGCCGGATACGTCCGCACAGGACCGGTTCGAAGCCAGGTACCAGGAAACTGAATCCTGGACAGGGCCTGGACGTCCGGTAGGGACCCAGGCAGGCCGTTTTAGGCCACGGACTGAACCAGTTTCAAAGCCTGCGATCTGGACCGTGGATCGGAGTTTTGATCTGCACGGCCCAGAACGCAGGCCGTGGGTTTTCAGTCCTGGCCCAGCGCTACTTAAGCTGGGCCGTTGCCCAGTTTGTGGACAGAAGGTACCAGGAGAAATCCAGCGCTATGCTGGTTCAGGAACTTCGCTGCTGCGCTATTTTGGAGACTCCCTGCTGCGCTATTTCGAGACTGCAGCTGCGCTGCTCATTGGCCATGAGGCACAGCGCTGGAGGAGTCCAGCGCCGAGGAGGGTAGTGGAGTTAGAGAGAGAGAGAGAGAGAGAGAGAGAGAGAGAGAGAGAGAGA